GGTGCATTCCCACTCTGGGAGACAGAATTTAAAAAAAAATTCAGGAAATCGCATTGTATGATGATTTTTTTAAAGAATTTATTTGTCTTGCACTGCTGATCATAAGTATTTGAACACCTGAGAAAATCAGTGTTAATATTTGGTACAGAAGCCTTTGTTTGCAATTACAGAGGTCAAACGTTTCCTGTAGTTCTTGACCAGGTTTGCACACACTGCAACAGGGATTTTGGCCCACTCCTCCACACAGATCTCCTCTAGATCTGTCAGATTTCGGGGCTGTCGCTGAGCAACACGGAGTTTCAGTTCCCTCCAAAGATGTTCTATTGGATTTAGGTGTGGAGACTGGCTAGGCCACTCCAGAACCTTGATATGCTTCTTACGGAGCCACTCCTTGGTTATCCTGGCTGTGTGCTTCGGGAGAAATTTTCACATACGTGACAGCTTCCCAGCATAGACATGCCCCTTTGGGAGTATTCTAGCTCAGAGTTGGTACTAATTACCACCAGTTTCCTCCTTTGAGAACTGGTGGTAGTACTTTAAGAATTAGTTGCTACCATAGTGTCAGGTTCATAAAGTCCAGTTAGTAAGAATGACCTGAATTTGCTGATGTTACTGACTCTAGCACACACACTTGCCTGAATTAGGAGCAGGTAGTTCTTAAAGCTGAACTGAACCCTCCCCTGCTTTTACCGCCAAGGAAGCTCCCATCTTAACCTTTGCCTTAGGCCTAGCTTTTGGCTGCTCTGCAGTTGCCATGGTGCTGCATCAGTTATAACACCAGTCATTTGATGGTTTAACAGTTCGGATGAGAGCACAAGCAGCTGTGACAGTTATAATTCAAGACATGCCTTGGATGTATCTGTTTTGAGAAACAGTTAAATCGATGGGTTTAATTACCTCCAGAAAAATTTTGTTTGACTTTATTGAATTCCCCTAATGGCTTTTTAAGGGGAAGTGTAGAAAATAAAATAGAGTTATTTAAGTCTTTTATTGCAGAACAAACTCTCTTCCATAAGCAAAGGGAGGAGATTGCACAATCAGATTGAAAGGTGATGTTCAGCTTAAAAAAGGTAGAAAAATATCAAGATCTTCTGTTTTAAAAGACCACTTAAAGTGATTGTAAACCTTCACCTTTTAAAACAACTTATTCAGATTGAAATAGAAATGAAGGGTAAAACATTTGTGTATAGTTAAAAAAAACATCCCTTCCTTTTTTTAGAAGTGATCATATACCCTCTGTTCTCAGCTGCATAAGAGTTGGGGGAGTATAAACAGCAGCACGCTGATCTTTTCACTGAATGGCTGTACAATGAGGGTTTCAGGACAAGTCTGAACATTGGAAGAGAGCAGGCTGAGTTCCCAGCACAGCTAGAGAACTGACCATGGTGTGCTCTCATGCCTAGTGTGGTCAGTTTTTAACAGGAAAGCAGAGCGACTGGCAGGAACACCAGGGATTTCACAGGAAGCAATGCAAAGAGAACAGGATGCTTTTCCATACAAGTACATGGCACAGCAGGCACATATCAGGAATATGAATTGTTGGGTTTACCTATTCTTTAACCCGATAACCACAAATAATAGGATTTTACGGGTAGTGTAGAAAAAGACATTTCTTAGCAGAAAATGTTGTATTGCAAAAAAGACTGTTCAACAAATTTTTATTTTTTGCCAGTTTTGGAAACAAAAGGATCCATTTCTTAATGAATTTCACATTCTGAGTTCAAATATAACAATGAAATTTGTCAATTGGCTCTAGTTTTTCTGTAAACGGAAAGTTTTCTACTATAGGCGTAATGACTACATAATGCACAATAATTATATAGATAGATGTCTTTCCACAAATATAAAGCAAGTGATATTGACTACATAACAAAGCCTAAATGGCATAATATATTGCATAGGATTACCAAGAAAAATTATAGCCATAAGCTAAGTTGAATCATTTTAATACTTAGGATTCTCACTAGTTTTGTCTGCAGTTTGTGTCGGTTTTGCTTCTCTTGGCTTTTCTCTTGTATTCGAGGAAAGGGCTATCTCTTACAACTGCACGTGACTACACGCTTCAGGTTCTTCCTCACTTGACTCAACCACGAAGGATTCTGGTGCTTTAGGAATTGGTAGCCCCTCTCCATGAGGAACTGGACGTATTGCCGATGGAATATTTGGATAGTGCACAGATAACTTTTTCTTCTTATTTAGCACTTTTACAATTGGAGGCACCATACAAAAGTAACAATTACTAACATGATCTGTTGGCTCTCTCTAAATCATTGGCACAGCGAAAGGCATAGATGCCTTTTTTCCATTCAACCATTGCTCCAGTGCCGTCCCACAAGAATTGCAGCATATATGTGGTGCCCAGCTCTTGTCCTGGTCTCCTATCTTGCAGCCAAAATCCAAGTTGTAGGCTTTCTTAATCATTCCTGTTATCCTCCTTTTTTGTGAGATAAAAGTTATTTCACCGCAGATATAGCAGAAATTATCTGCATTCACACAAGTTCGAGGCATTACTGAGTAGCCTATATAAGCATAAAACGAAATGTAAAACGCTGTCGAACTACAATCAGCTACAGATACTGCAGCTTTTATGCAGTGAAGTATGCAATTAAAGGCTAATATTGCATCATCTCAGTATACATGCAATTTTCTATTGGTCACCAGTATCAATTGCGCAATATGCAGCTGAAGTTGCATCATAATTTTGAATGGCTTACGTCATTAGATGGGTGAATATATCATGGAAACTAGAGCCAATCAACATTTTTTAGGGTCATTTTCGTTTTCAGCACCCCAAAATTATGTAAGATTAGCTAATTTTATGGCCAAAACTTTTTACCTGTTGAACAGTGTAATCAAAGTGACTTACGTGCCTACTAGGAAGTTTCTAAACACTGTACGATGGGCCGCGCATTCATAGTTTAGTGTACAATGTCAGCATTCCCCTATGCTAGGATAAATAAACTCCCATGCACATGTGGAGATGTCAGTGGAAAGTGGAACAAAACTCTCTCAAAGGACAGTAACTACTTGTAATCCTTATGCTGCTGGCATAAAAGTAGTAAATAGATAGAAAGGTATATATTTTTTTTACTTGTTTTAAACTTTTTTTTCTTTTACAATTTTTCAGCTGCTTCCTGGTCTCTGGCCTAGGCCAAAATGATGGCATACATCCCAGGAGTCTTCATGTGCATTTTTTTCTTTCTTCTGGAGGAGGAAAAGAGGGGTATTCTCAGCTAAGCACACCCACCTGTCAGCATGCCTGAGCTAAGGGATGGATTCCAGGATGTAAATGCTGCACGAATCATCTGCCCTTACTCAAGATGACCACAGCCAGAAATACCTGGGGGGGTGTTCTTCAAAATGGTTTCTCAAGAAAATAAAGCATGGATACATGGATAGACTGGTGAGTTTGCTTTGACTATTAAAAATTAATTAACCGCTTTCCATCCGCCCTATAGCAGAAGTACTGCTACAGGGTGGCACAGGTGCGCAAAATCACGTATACATATGTCATTTTGCAGTTCAGGGTAGGGGGCTCATGCACACCCTACCCGCACCACCATTTGCGGCCGGTGATTACTCACCAGCACCCAGTGATTGCCGATGGGGGGGAAAGAACTGTTTGTAAACAATACAGTTCTCTCCCCTGTCAGCTCCTGCACACTGCTTTGCATGGCTGTGCAGCCATGCAAAGCAGTGTTCTTACAGTGAAGTACACACACAGGACACAATGTAAAATGGCACACAGCACACAGTTAACCCTTTGATCGCCCCACATGTTAACCCTTCATGTCCAGTACCATTAGTACAGTGTCCGTGCTTTTTATTAGCACTGATCACTGTATTGGTGTCACTGGGGAAGTCGCTGATCGCCGCCATTACTAGTAAAAATTAAAAAAAGAAAAAAAAATCCCAGTATATACACCACCATTTGAAAAATGCTATAACTTTCACGTAAGCCAATTCATTTACATGTATTGGGATTTTTTTTAGCAAAGACATGTAGCAGAATACATTTTGGCCTAAATGATGAAATTATGACGAAATTTGAGTTTTTAAATTTTTTTAATGAACATGTTTAATAGCAAAAAGTAAAAAGTGTTGTTTTTTTTCTCAAAATTGTCGGTCTTTTTTTTTATAGCGCAAAAAAAAAAAAATGCACAGGGGAAAAAAGTAACACAGAGCCGTAACGCAAAAAATGGCCTGGTCAGCAAGGGGGGTAAATCCTCTGCGTTTTTTGTTTTTGGTGTTCAGATACAGTTTAGTTCCGTTTTAGGTTTGGAATTTAGGAGATGCACGTTGATCATTGTGTCCTGGACATGTTATAACATTGCAAAATTATTAACTGAAATATGTGCTCTATTTGTAAAGGTAAGTACCGTATTTTTCGCACCATAAGACGCACTTTTTTCCCCCCAAAAAAGGGGGGAAAATGTCAGTGCGTCTTATGGAGCGAATATGGAGCGGCCGGTCCGGTATTTCCACTGCCGCCGTGTCAGAATACCGGGCCGGCCGCTCAGCTCTACAGCGGGACCTTAGAGATGACTGCTGACCTTTGGGGAGGGAGGGGGAGCGGGTACCTGAATTTGACAGATACCCGCTCCCACTTCCGTGGAGTTGTTCTTTCATCTTACCTGTTCCTCTATCCAGCGGCGCGGTCTTCCCGGCTTCTGTAGTGTGGGCATGACAGCCGGGTGTCAAGTGCGCATGCGCAAGAAGCGGTGCTTTTTGTGAATGGTAAGGCGGCACCTGGGACACATGACAGATCCCAGAAGCCGCCGGACCAATCACAAAGCGCAAGTGCTTCTCGCTCATGTGCACTGGGCACCCGGCTGTCATGCCGAGCGCCATTACAGAAGCCGGGAAGACAGCGCGCGGCTGGATAGAGGAACGGGTAAGATGAAAGAACAACTACGCGGAAGTGGGAGCGGGTACCTGTCAAATTCAGGTACCCGCTCCCCCCCTCCCCAAAGGTCAGCAGTCATCTCCTGTACTATCCACAGTCTCGTCTCTGGTCATCTCCTGTACTGTGTCCGCAGTCTCTGGTCATCCCCTGTACTGTGTCCGCAGTCTCTGGTCATCTCCTGTACTATGTCCGCAGTCTCTGGTCATCTCCTGTACTATGTCCACAGTCACTGGTCATCCCTGTACTGTGTCCGCAGTCTCTGGTCATCTCCTGTACTGTCCGCAGTCTCTGGTCATCTCCTGTACTGTGTCCGCAGTCTCTGGTCATCCCCTGTACTGTGTCCGCAGTCTCTGGTCATCCCCTGTACTGTGTCCGCAGTCTCTGGTCTCTGGTCATGTCAGTCTCTGTACTATGTCCGCAGTCTCTGGTCATCTCCTGTACTATGTCCGCAGTCTCTGGTCATCTTCTGTACTGTCCGCAGTCTGGTCATCTCCTGTACTGTGTCCGCAGTCTCTGGTCATCCCTGTACTGTGTCCGCAGTCTCTGGTCATCTCCTGTACTGTGTCTGCAGTCTCTGGTCATCTCCTGTACTATGTGTGCAGTCTCTGGTCATCTCCTGTACTATGTCCGCAGTCTCTGGTCATCTCCTGTACTGTGTCCGCAGTCTCTGGTCATCTCCTGTACTGTGTCTGCAGTCTCTGGTCATCTCCTGTACTGTGTCTGCAGTCTCTGGTCATCTCCTGTACTGTGTCTGCAGTCTCTGGTCATCTCCTGTTCTATGTCTGCAGTCTACGGTCATCTCCTGTACTGTGTCCGCAGTCTCTGGTCATCCTGTACTGTGTCTGCAGTCTCTGGTCATCTTCTGTACTGTGTCCGCAGTCTCTGGTCATCCCTGTACTGTGTCCGCAGTCTCTGGTCATCACCTGTACTGTGTCCGCAGTCTCTGGTCATCCCTGTACTGTGTCCGCAGTCTCTGGTCATCCCTGTACCGTGTCCGCAGTCTCTGGTCATCCCTGTACTGTGTCCGCAGTCTCTGGTCATCTCCTGTACTATGTCCGCAGTCTCTGGTCATCTCCTGTACTGTGTCCGCAGTCTCTGGTCATCTGTACTATGTCTGCAGTCTCTGGTCATCTCCTGTACTGTGTCCGCAGTCTCTGGTCATCTCCTGTACTGTGTCTGCAGTCTCTGGTCATCTCCTGTACTGTGTCCGCAGTCTCTGGTCATCCCCTGTACTGTGTCCGCAGTCTCTGGTCATCCCCTGTACTATGTCTGCAGTCCATTAGTTCAGAATTTTTTTTTCCCCTGTTTTCTGCCTCTAAAACCTAGGTGCGTCTTATGGTCAGGTGCGTCTTATGGAGCGAAAAATACGGTATCTCCTAAATTAGTCTTTATGGTTGTCTAAAACTTTTTTTTTTAAATCAAGCCAATAACAGTTGACTGCAAGTCTGCAATGATGGAAAAAAGCTTCTCCATTTTATCTGGTATCCAGTGCCTTGAAAAAGTATTGTTCCCCCTTGAAATTTTCCACATTCTGTCATGTTACAACCAAAAACGTAAATGTATTTTATTGGGATTTTATGTGATAGACCAACACAAAGTGGCACATAATTGGGAAGTGGAAGGAAAATGATAAATTGTTTTCAAAATGTTTTACAAATAAATATCTGAAAAGTGTTGCGTGTATACCCCTAACTAAAATCTAGTGGAACCAATTGCCATGAGCCCTAATAATTGGTGTGATCTTATTAAAACTTATTTGAACAAAAATGTAATATAAGTTGTTGCTCTTCATCCTGCATCAGTGTTCTCTTTGTACCCTCAGGTATTCTGCCCTCCTGCCTGGACATGGCTGAGCACACCCATTCATCTGCAGGTGTCAGGGCACTTCCTGAATGGTCAAGCTTTTTTTTAAGGACAGCTAACTTAATTCCCAAGTTGCTTGTTTTATAGATTGTTTGGCTCATGGGTACAAGTCTTGCTGTTTCCCTAACCATTGTTTTTGACTTTACTGACCTTGCTTAAACTTCACCCTCATTGAACTTTCTTTGATCCTGGATCATATGTTAACTGTTAGATTTGGTTTTAATAAATGGAACTAGTTAACCCTGGCAAAGACCTAAGATCTGCTTGATCGCTAAGCATTCAACCTGTCCTTTGGAACTATCTTTGTCCAGCTTGTTATGACCCCTGATAATTTATCAGCTACTTTGTGCCTTGGACTGCTAAACCACCTGAAATATGGGAATATAAGCCTCAATGGTTCCAGAAATTCAATTATGTGCACTCCCACCTACACATCTTACATACTCTCACCGGCCACTTTATTAGGTACACCTGTTCAATTGTTTGGTAACACAGATTGCTAGTTAGTCAATCACATCACATGGCAGCAATGCAATGCATTAAGGCATGTAGATGTGGTGACGACGATTGCTGAAGTTCAAACCAAGTATCAGAATGGGGAAGAAAGGGGATTTAAGTAATTTGAACATGGCATGGTTGTTGGTGCCAGATGGGCTGGTCTGAGTATTTAAAAAACTGCTGATTTACTGGGATTTTCATACACGACAATCTCTAGGGTTTACAGAGAATGGTCCGAAAAAGAGAAAATATCCAGTGAGCAGCAGTTGTGTGGACGAACATGCCTTGTTGAGGTCAGAGGAGAATGGGCAGACTAATTGTTGCAACATTCAGATGGTAGGGTCAGAAATTGGCATAAACAACATGAAAGCATGGATCCATCCTGCCTTGTATGAACAGTTCAGGCTGCTGGTGATGGTGTAATGGTGTGGGGGATATTTTCTTGGCACTAGCAAGGTGTACCTAATAAAGTGGCCATTGAGTGTATAACATCTCCTATTATTTCATTCATGGTATGGGTGCCCAGTGCTCATAATTGTAAGTTATAACACCTGTTCTAGTTAGTGTCTCTGGTACCCTCTGACAGCTTGTTAACCATAGCCCACCTTTCTGAGGTTACGACCATGCTTTCCATATTCTATGCTAGGGGCACCTGTGTACAGGGTCAGCATTTGGAAAAGGGGTGGGTTGGGGGTAAAGGGCCCTCACATTCTGAAGGGCCCCCTGAACTCAATCTTCTCTGCACATGAAGAGCTGCACCATTATTTGCAGAGTGTTGTAAAATTATTAGGTAGAAAAATGTGTGGGGACAAAGAATGCTGTGCCTTATGAACTAGGTCTTGCTGGAGGTCTAGCACTATTATAACCAAATCTTAAAGTTGAAATTAACCTAGATTAAATCTACAAAATATATTTCAGCTGCAAACAACAAAACAAAAAGTGTGCAGTGTGTTACGACTTGTTTTCTTTCCAAAGCAGGTACAATCTATTCCCTGCCAACATACTTCAGAGTGGGACACTTGCTCCGTGTGTGGAAACTGTAGTCTTTCTGCAGAAGTTTGACACTGACACATAGACAGGCTTTTCTACACAGGCTGTGGCTGCTTTAGAAGGAAGCAGAACTGTTAGGACCCTTCAGAATTGTGAAAGAGGCTGTGTAGGATAACATGTGAGAACCCCAGCAGGGGTTCCCTGTGATTAGTTGAGGAAGGCAGCTCCATTGAAAGCAGTGGGATGTTGACATCTCCAAAAGCTAATCATGGCCGCTCACATATAATTGTTCCAGGAGCACTTACCTGTGAGTGATCGGCCCTGGACACAGACAGACTGCGTCCAGGGCCGATCACTGCCAGGTATTCCCCTTATGTTTTCATGAACTCCCTCTGTGGCTCCCACATATCATTACTCACAGCCTCATTCACAAGTGTGAATGGGGCCTATGACGTTAAACACCTTTTAACTTGATACACCTGGAATATATGTAGCTAATGTAAACTGAAGGTTCAACTAGGCGTAATTCTTGACCCCAATTTATCTAACACTGGCCCTGTCTAATATCTGTTAATGCTTATTAAGCATACTCAAAAAACTGACTGCCAAAGGCATAGAAGGTTCAGCCTGAGATGGGTACTACACCTTACAGTAGCCTTGTAGAACTACGCTGAAGGATGGGGTTCACAGAGGCAGTGGAAAGACAAGATCTCCAAAAACATGTGCTACCTCCTCTTTCTGTATGGGCTAATCATTGGTGGGTTGTATAGTCCAAAAATATTTCTGAAGGTAAAGCAGGTGACATACTGTCTCTATTGACACATCTGCTTTTCATTTTTCTGATAATCAATTAGCATTGGCTGATAAGGAATTGACGGTTGACAATGGCCGCACAACTGTTTGTTTCTTTAATTTTTCCCATGTAAACTGCTACATCAATATAATATTACACACCAATACAACATTTGGTAGATCAGCATAAAAACAATCCACCACTTAATCTTAAGTGACTTTACTAGCTCACATCCACAAATCCCATCCCTCCTCTTCTTTCCTCAACACGCTGCAATATTTCAAAAAGTTTTATTGCTCCAGAAACAGCATTCATGACCTCCATATCAAAAGCAAGATTGCAGCACTAAATAACTGTGAGCTGTTGAAATGAATTTGCTTCTTCTTGTTGGCTATACATCAAATTAATTTCTTTTTTTTTTCAATTGAAAGTGTCTCTGTGTAATTGTAACATCATGCACTAAACATTTCTCTTTTTTAATGTAAATTCCTTTCAGCCATGTCTCCGAATTGCCCAAATTTGACTTTATTTTCCTTTCTAGACTGAAGGAAATCCTAAATGTTGTTTGGTTTTGCAGACCTAACATTGTGTTTTAAATATGCAGGATCTTCTCAGCAGCATTTTCTGCAGCTCACTTGCCGTTGTTGTAGCAACACATCACAGATTTGTGAATAAAGAGAATGTCGGGGTGGCAAGGCAAAGAATGAGCCATCTATCAATATTCTCCTACCACTCTCCTTGCCCAAGCAAGACACAGAGGTGACGATTTGGCTCTGGCCCTCATTAAGTACAAGCATAAAAGGCATTTTTCATGTCCCCAGTAAAGGAACAGATATGCTTGTACATGCTTTGCATAGTTCTGGATCTGCCAAAAGTTTAACATAGCCAAAAAAAGTGAATGGACAAAATATAGATGTGTGAACAGCTCAAATAGGAAGCATAATGCTTTTCTAAATAGTTTTTTTCTCTAAGCTTTAGTTCAACAAGATTAGATAAATATATTTTGGTACACATATGAAAAGCAAAACCTACATGTCACAACGAAGTTTTTTAAACCATTGAGCCAAACATTAAAACTGTTACAATTGGTTACAAATTTAGATAGTGATTTCCTCTGCAAGACTACATTAAAAAAATAATGACAGGAATAACAATTGAAGCAAAGTGTGGTGAAAGAAAAATTGTATATAACCACTCATGAGAGGGTAGATTTTTGATTTTTCATCACCATAGGCAGAAAACATATCACAAAAAATCATACACAGACTCTAAAACAAACAAAAAGCATAGGCATAAAACCCTTTACGTTTTTTCTTCATTAAATGGAAAAATGGACAAAAGTACAACTTCCCTCCTTCACTCTATTCAAAACTAACAGAAAAGTTTTCACTGCACTACCGCTTTGATTAACTAGTGTCAACAATTTGAGATTTTTTTCAGAGACGAACTTCAGGAGTGGGTTGAAAATGATTGAAGTGAACCCAATTTGTGCTAGGTTCTATACAGTGCTAAATACAGTGTTATACACAGTGCTGTATTATGATACATTACAGTGAATTGCTA